GGGCCTGGTGCAGGCTCTCGTCCCTTAAGCACCTCCAGACTGACTTGTGGTCCCTGCCTTCCACCCTCAACAGGAGCACCTCGCAGAGTGAAGGAACCCGGACGCAAGAGCGAGGAAGGGAGGAGGGCAGCTGCGGTGTAAAGGAAATTCAGAACTGGCTTATGCAGGGAAGGTGACCCAGTTTGAAAAGAGGGGGGTGTATTTTCAGGTGTGAGGGGCTAGAGTAGCGAAATGGGTTGGGGGACTGCCAGTGTTTGACTAGGGGTTTAGGGTCTGTGCTATGCAGGGTGATGTCCATGTCCTGACCCCTGGAACCTGTGAATAAGCTACGATACACGGCACAGGGGCTTTGCAGATGTGATTCAATTCGGGATCCCTAGGTGAGGAGGTCGTCATGTGTTAGTCCGTGTCAGCCATGAGAGGAAAGACTTGACCGGCCCCTGCTGACGTTGAAGATGCGTGGGGGGGCCAGGAATGCAGGTGGCCTGCGGAAGCTGGAAAACCCAGGGAAACACGTTTCCCCCTAAGGCCCCCAGGAGGGATGCAGCCCTGTGGACACCTAGATTTTAGCCCAGTGAGACCCAGTGCGGACTTCGGACTTCCACACAACTCTCTGAAATAGACACAGCATCAAACCCATTTTATAGCAGAACAAAACCAGGCACCGAGCAAGTTACACAGCTTACCTGAGGTCACCCAGGGCGAGTGGCAGAGGTGAGATTGGAACCCACGTGGTCTGGCTTCACAGCCCCGTGCGATTCGTAGCCCATAGACACCCTTGGCCCTAAAAGTAGCCGTTACTGGTTTTCTTTTTTTATTTAAACACCTTGCTGCCTTCTCCCACGTTTCTTACCTCACCACCCCAAAGTAGTAAACTGCAGTTGGGCTTCCTAGTCTGAAGGTTTTCATGCGGTTCACCACATGCTTTGAATATAGAAAGTAGCCCACTGCCAGAATAGGCTGAGGCCACCGGGGCACAGCAGCAAGTGGAATATGGTGGCATAAAAAATGAGAAAATATAACATGGTGGTAGGTTTCTTCCTTTGTGAATCGGGTCTTCAGTAACAGATTTTAATAAGATCCTGAGCTGAAATGAATCATCCCTAAAGCAAGCCATCCTAGGCTCCATGTGTTAATAGCTCAGAGTACATGGAGCGATTTCAACGTGAAAAGGACGACTGTTGTCAGCTAGGCCTTGGGCGATTTCAGAGTTCCCTGTTCTGCAGATGTACAGGGTTCGGTATCAGGCCTCGTGGAGGTAGGTCCTGGGGCTGTCCCGTCCCCATACTCCCCTTCCCATTTACACACGAGCAGACTGCAGCAGGAGCTCTCTCCAAGCCCACACGGTTGCAGCCTGAGCCCGGCTGGCACAGTGGGTGAGCCCCGTGCCAGGTGGGCCCGTCCTCTCGCCCAGATCACCTAGTTTCTTTCAGCAGCAGCTTTCACAGGTGGGTGGAAAACTGGGTCAGAGGTACCAGAGCCTCAGGATTCCTTAACTGGGCAGAGGTTGTAAGAAATTAGGTGACTTAAAAGGCCAGTCTCCTTGCATCATTGACTTCTAGCTAGCTATGTGGTATTTATGTGGCGTATTTTGAATATTTTCCTTTTGGGCCTTGTTCCCTGACAGTTTTAAAGATACATAAAAAAGATACATATCTTCATAGACAATAGTTTGTAAAGTGACCGTAGCAGTTGAAAACTATAGCAATACTACTGTTTTAAATATAGAAATCTTCACTTGGTCGGGCTTTAGTCTTTGCCTATTAAGTCAGTGATTCAAGAAAGCGTAAATAAATGTGACTTTCTGATCTTAGTTTTCTGAATGTGCCTGCTGCTCGCAAGACCCAGCGCACAGGAGGTGTGATTTCTTTTGCATCAGATGGGCGATTATGATCAGTGTGCAGATAGTGGATCGAACTGTTACTGGTCATCAATTCGTTTGTGAGGTTCTGCTGGGAAAAATAAGATGGAAGATTTAAGTTCTGGCCCCACGAACTGGTCAGGAGCAAGTGTCCACACAGCACAAATGATGACGTGTGGTTGTCTGGGCAGGTAGCTGTTACGGGTTGGTCAGTGAGAAGATAAGTGACCCTCGGGTGCCCTAGTCAGGAAGACATGATCCTTGAGGTGACTGGTTAAGTGAGCTTCAGAGTGCAGGGCGGCCAGTGACAACTGCTCCTGTCTCCTGGACACTTAGCAGTGCCGAGTTGGTGACAGGCGGGGTTGGGAGGTCACTCCCAGTACTGTGGGAAATGTGATGCTAAAAGCAAGATCCCAGACGAAGTGTGACAAGTTTTCAGGAGTATTCTAACATTGGGGTTATTAATTACCCTGGGATATGGAGAGAGGAAGAATTAGCACTACAAATGTAAAAGTTTTCTGCGAGCGACTTCCTTTGGAAATCAGAGGCCTTTATTTACAATTTCTATTTTGATGAAGTTAAGTCCTATAATTTTTTTGAAAAGTTATTTTATTTTATTTTTTTTATTTTTGGGAAGCAGGGACTAGCTTCGTTGCCCAGGGTGGAGTACAGTGGCATGATCTCAGCTCACTGCAGCCTTGAACAAATGGGCTCAGGCAATCCTACTGCCTCAGCTTCTTGAGTAGCTGGGACTACAGGCTGGTACCACCATGCCTGGCTAATGTTTAAATTTTTTGTGGAGATGTGGTCTTGCCATGTTGCCCAGCTTGGTCTCAGACTCCTAGTCTCAGGCAGTCCTCCTGCTTTACCATCCTAAAGTGCCGGGATTAGAGGCATGAGTGACCTTACCCGACCAGTCCTATAATTTTTAAAAAAGGCTTCTATTTTTCTTAAAAAAATAGTTTACCGTCTTCTCAATCCTTTGTATCCTTTCTACAGTGCCTAACACTGTTTTGTATGCTAAAGATTTTTAATAAATGTTTAATTAATTGGAAAAAATACTGCTTTTTATTTTGGATGTGTTATTGGAGGGCACTGAATGGGTCGCATAATTTTCTTTTAGAGGTGAAAGTTCCCATTGTGTCCCCGACTCCAGGTATAGAAACCAAGGCTCTGAGGGCTGAAGGGATTTCTAGACCTCGATGTTCAGTACGAGCCCCATACTGGCTGATTAAGTTTAAATTAACGAGAAATAACTATTCATTTTCTCACTAGCCAAATTTCATATGCGCCAACTACATGTGGCTATTTAAATAAAATTGAGTAACATTGAAAATGTTAGTTCCTCTGTCACAGCAGCCACAAGTAGCTCGTGGCTCCCATCTTGGACATAGAACGTCACCATCGTCACAGAAAGCTCTGTGGGACAGCGCTGCTCACTAGACACAGCCTGTGAACTGGGTTTTACTTCTGTTACCACAGTGGGCTCTGATCACACTCTTGGTCTCGGGGCTTTAGAATTTAGAAAACCAAGCGGTGTCATCTGTAATAATTCAGGAATAAGATTCCCCAAACTGGGGTGCAGCATGGTGCATACATGCTGGTGATCATGCCTTAGGCACTGGGCAGGGTGGGTAACAAACAAGAAGTGACAAGGAAAAGCCAGCAGGACATAGGTCGTGTGAACAAATAATGTGCAAAAAGTGATGAATGCCACAGAGGTGAACAAACGGGGTTCTGGAAATCGAAGAGGTTGCATCGGGCTGTGGGGAAGCGGGAGGGCTTGGTGAGGAAGTGCCACTTGCAGTGGGCCTTCAGGGCTGGTTAGGGTTTGAACTGCAGGGAATTCGAGGTGAGGGTGCCAGAGGCAAAGGTTCTGGGTGGATGAAAATAGAGGTGCTGCCTTTCGGTTTCCTGGACATATCCATTTGGTGTAATTACAACATTGTCTTGTGTTTCTTTGCTTTTTCTTTGCCATTAGACTTTATGCCTTGACCCAAAGTTTCTCCCTACCAAATAATCAAAAGCATTGCATTTTTATATTTTATTTTCAATCAGGCAGGAATGTGCTGTAATGTTAAATGCCAGTTAACCTTAATTTTACCTGGTCTGGCAACAACTAAATGATTAGATTTGCACCTGCCCTTACTGATTGATAAAATGTGCTAGTAGTCACCATAATTTTAAAAGTAACTTCATTGAGATATAATTCACATACCACAATTCACTGATTTATAGTATAAAATATAGTGGTTTTGGCATATTCACATTTGTGTGACTATGAATGCAATTTAAGAACATTTTTGTCCCCACAAAAGGAAACCCTGTATCCATTAGCAGTCACTCCCCATCTGCCCCCAGCACTAGCAAACACTAATGTATCTCTGTGGATTTGCCTATTCTGAGTCTGGCTGCTCTTACATAGTGTAAGGCCTCAAAGTTCATCCATGTTGTAGCATTTATTTATTGCTTTTCAAAAAAAACTTTTTTGAGACAGTTTCGCTCTGTTGCCCAGGCTGGCGTGCATTGGTGTGATCATAGCTGACTGTAACCTCGAACTCCTGGGCTCAAGCGATCCCTCTGCCTCAGCCTCCCCAGCCTTGGCCTCCCGTAGTGCTGGGACTAGAGGCGTGAGCCACTGTGCCTGGCCCATTCCTTTTTATCGTCCAACAGTAATCCATTGCGTGAAGAAACTCACTATGATGTATACTGGATTGCAAAAGACGTGCAGGTTCCCATGAATGTGTCATCTGTAATAGCGTTTACTCAGTAGTTTTTAAAGGGACTTGAACTTTCTTATTGTAAGGCTATACTTCCCTGCTAAGTTGAGTGAACTTGGTGGTCGGGGGAATGTGAGGGATCAGTGTCAGTCTGTTCCATCAGCAGAGCTGCTGGGACGTGATTATAGATGAGGGGATTTATTAGAGGGATTTTAACGGACACAGCCGTGTGAGCTGGTTACATGTCTGGTGCTGGAGCCGAGGTCCGCAGGGCACGCTGTGTGCGAGGGAAGGTAGAGCATAAGCAAGGCCGAGAGCTGCGCGCCATCTGCATGAGCCTCTAGCTGCAGTGATGAAGCTGGTACTGTTCCACCCGAAGTCAGAGTCCCAGCAGGCAGAGAACCCCCAGGCAACTGGGGACATGGCTGCACCCTTACTCTCACCCCCCAGATTGCACTGGAGTGTCTCAGGAGTGGGAACTGTGCAGGGAGGGGTGTGTCATTCCCGCTTTGCTGGGGCAGCACCGTACAAATCTGCGTATCAGTCGTGTCTCTGGAACAGGCAACCTTTTGATGTTGGGATCCCATTTGTACTCCTAAAAATTAAGACCCCAAAGAGCTTTTGATTAGCTGGGTTATATCTACTGTGAGTTACCATATTAGAAATTAAGACCAGGCTGGGCGCCGTGGCTCATGTCTGTAATCCTAGCACTCTGGGAGGCCAAGGCGGGTGGATCGCTCAAGGTCAGGAGTTCAAGACCAGCCTGAGCAAGAGCGAGACCCCGTCTCTACTAAAAATAGAAAGAAATTGGCCAAACAACTAAAAATAGAAAAAATTAGCCGGGCATGGTGGCACATGCCTGTAGCCCCAGCTACTTGGGAGGCTGAGGCAGGAGGATCGCTTGAGCCCAGGAGTTTGAGGTTGCCGTGAGCTAGGCTGATGCCATGGCACTCTAGCCAGGGCAACAGAGCCAGACTCTGTCTCAAAAAAAAAAAAAAAAAAAAAGAAATTAAGACCAATCTCAAGTATTTATTCATTAATCAACCAGCACATGGTAACACAAATAACATACTTTTTATAGAAAATAATTATTATCTAAAGTGAGAGGAATGACATTGTTTTACATTTTTGCAACTTTATTGTCCAGCTCGATGGAAGACTATTTCTGCTTTCACTCAGTTGCAATGTAATTTTAGTTAAAACATAAAGAAAACCCAGTCTTGCAGTTAGAAATGGGGACAGTATTTTAGTAGCCTTCTCAGGTAGTTGTGGCTATTTCATACAACAACGAAACAAGTGGTTTTAATAAAGGTTAATTGCAACGTGGAATCTGAACCATATCAATCAGCTTTTCTTACTCTATTACATTAATATTCATTGGTCCATCTTGTACTTTGAATGGATCTTTTCTAGTACCATTCATTGCTCACTTGGAAATATTCACTGAGTTATTAAAAATGAGTTAACGTTCCCTAAACATTGGCATTGTTGTAAAAACCTCTGTGCTGTTTGCTCTATAGGTGAGAATCTTCTGTTTGTTGGTTGAGTGGTAATGACCAGCAACGTGGTGGCTACCTCCGCATCTGCCTGTGTGTGGGGATGGGGTGCAGGCTAATTAATGGTCAGAGACTGTAGGTGTTTGTCATCTCTGTGTCCTCTTTGAAGTGCTGGGAAAATCTTCTGCTGATTGTTTAGTTGGGTAGTTTTTCCTGCTGTTGAGTCTTCAGAACTCTATGTATTTGAGATACAAGTTCTTGGTCAGATACGTGATTTGCAAATGTTTCCTTCCAGTCTTTAAGTTGCCTGTTTATTCTCTTAACAGCATCTTTCTGAAGCATAAGGCTTTAATTTTAATAAAGTACAGTTTATCAAACTTTTTTTATCTCACTTTTGGTATTATGGCTAAGAAGGCTTCCCTCCACCCCATGCGACAGATTATCTTCTGCGTTTTCTTCTAAAAGTCTTATATCTTTACATTTCATGCTGAGTTATTTTTTGTAAAAGATGTTTGATTCAGTCGGGGTTTTTTTTTTCCCAGCCTACAATGTCCAGTTCTTCCCATGCCATCTGTTGAAGAGATCATTGTAGAATGAACTTTATTGCAGAGTAATAACATAAATTTAGCAGATAATTGAATTTTTTTAAAACACCAAAACGTTTTCCTGCAGAAACTTAAACTTGTGCCTCAGTGTAAGAAATAGTGCTTGTATATATCTTTGGGCATGTATGCTAATTTCCTTTGGAATGGACTTCTGAAAATCAAAATCATTTCAAAATGAACGAAAGGATATTGGACATTTTGATTTTGATACATAACTGGTTTGGGAGAAATAACTTTGAGTATAAAGATTTATGTTCCGGGCAGCTGTTTGACACCACCCATATTGCTAGACCCTCAGTATCATTGGGCACTTCCAATATTTTTCACTGTTAATCTGGTAGATGAAAAATAGTATCTCATGTTAATTAGGGAAGTTGAGCATATTTGTCATTTGTATTTCTTCCGGATTTCTCCTTTCTTGTAGTTGCGTTGTTTCTTCTTGAATTATAGGGACTCTGTTTATTCTGGATGTTAGTCCTTTGGCTGTTACGTGTTACAAATACTCACCTAGTTGGCGCACATCCTTTGTGCTGTGGCTTCTGAGAAGCTGTGTCCCTGCCAAACATGCTATGACTTCCTTTCCTGCAGCATTTAGATCACGCAGCACGCTTTAGCAGATAATCCCATTTCTTTGTGAAACAGACCTTACGTATAGAAGCAATGCAGACGTAATTACGAGGTCTTTAGTTGTGCTGCATTTGGCACCCCACAGTGCCCAGCACAGCGTTAAAACCAGTCATCAGTGTTCATGGACAGACATGATTGGTAGTTAGGATGATCTCTAGGGAACATATGATTTTTACATAATAAAACCAACTGTAAGCCCCAAACAAATAGTTTTATTTAAGGAACACAAATTATATGTAGCCCTCTTTGGGGCTTTGTTTTCATATAACTAATTTAAATCAGGATTATTTCAGTACAGAGCAAACTGTCAAGTTTGAATGCAGTGGGTCTACTTTGAACCACCAGGCACCACTGCCTTGAGGCTGGGTGGGCCCTGGCCTGCCGTGGGCCCCCAGAGGCACAGCCCAAAGACTGCCGGTTTGGATGGACAGGATCTGTCCCCTGCAAGTGGGTTTCTGGCCAGCCTCGTCAGGGTGCATGTAGCCACATAACCAGAGGGTACAAAATGGTAAACCAAAACACTGCAGATTTGTTGTATTGATTAAGCCACAGTTTTATTCTTAATACTATGACTGGGGAGATGGGCTGAGTGGTAAGGGGGGGGGAAAAAACCAACCACCAAAAAAACCCCTCGCCATGTCCTGCAGAACAGCAGAGGAGCTTGCAAGGAGACTCAGCATGTGTAAGGTTAGGACAGAGGTGATTGTCGTGACCAGATGGGTGTGGGGTGGCACCAGGCCCACGTTCTGGGACGATCTCAGGTCTGACAGTTCCTGACAGTTCCGTTAGGCATCGCACTCACCCCTGAGTGTCACAGTGCTTCCCAGGACGTGGTGGCTTCTGCTTCAATCTGTGGGGCACCTGCTGGGATGGAACGTGTAACGTGTTAGAATGAAATAATCTTTCCCATGTCCTTCATGGCCCTCCACGGCCTTGGCCCTGTCCACCTTCCCTCTCTGCCTTTCCCTCGTTCCTGCTCCTGTTGTGGTTTGCTCTACTTAGAGTTTGTTTCTGTGGAATTTCTGCACAGCTGGCTGCTTTTCATTCTGTGGTCTCTGCCCAGATGTCTCTTCCTCCATGGCTAGTGAGACATGTTCCAGCCCCGTGGCTCTGGCACATTGTGCTGTCCCCTCCATTGCAGTTATCACCAGGGGACAGCTCCTCCCACCCTAGTGAGCGGAGGAGACCAAGGGAGGGGTCTGTCTAGTTCCCTACTGAACCCCAGGGCCCAGCCTAGCTTGTGGCATTTACAAGGTGCCGGACAGGTTGGTTGACCTGAGAGAAGCGAGTGGGCTCTGCCCAACGATGGCCAGAGCCACATTCCTTTTATTGCCCTTGCGTCCCTGCCACTTCCCTGCCCGCTGGCTCCCTGTCCTCATGGGTAGCACTGCACTCCCGCAGCCCAACTGGAAACGCATTCTTTTATCTCCTGAGTCATTCCTGCCTGGAAAAAGAAATGCATTAGGCCATGGAGTAATTAAAATGTATGTTTGATAGAGTTGGTAACGTAATTGCTGAAAAATAGGGTATCCCACTCTTTGGGGATGAGTGAAATCCTTGGTAATGTAATGGTAATGGCTGCTTAGAAAAGGACCTTTTTTTTGAGACAGAGTCTTACTATGTCATCCGAGCTGCAGTGCAGTGGCCCCATGATAGCTCACTGCAGCCTCGAACTCCTGGGCTCAAGCGATCCTCCTACCTCAGCCTCCTGAGTAGCTGGGATTACAGGTGTGTGACCCACACTGGCTAATTTTTGTGGGGTTTCTTCTTTTTTTATAGAAATGGGGGTCTTGCTATGTTGTTCAGGCTGATCTTGAACTCCAGGTCTCAAGTGATCCTCCTGCATCAGCCTCTCAAAGTTACGGGAGTACAGGCATTAGCCGCCTATGCCCAGCCAGAAAGGATCTTTAATGGTTATTTTTGAAATGTAGTTGAAGTTTCCCACTTAGGGCCTAGTTTGCTTCCATGAGATTTCTGGTACCTAGTCAGGCACAAAGGGCGTGAAGGCTGACAAATATTTGGGGTGTCCTCATGGCCCACGGGTAGTACCATCTTTGTGACTGGGGTGAGTTGGCAGGCAGGGTCCTTGTTGCCTGGGCAGCACCTTCTTTCCACCCAGTGGCTGTGAGGGGTGGTCAGCCACGGGTCCCTGGTTCTGGAAGGGAGAAAGGACCGTGTTTTAGACCTCAAGTGGGAGCAGCAGTAATTCTGACCTGTGATTCGTGACCTTATTGTATCATTTTAATAACTCTGCCCCTTCGTTACCGCCAGGTTCTGTCTGAGGACGGGGTATATTCCGGGGACTTTCCTAAGGCCCAGCTTTAGCTTTGCCTTAGAATCTCCCAGAGGGGACTGTGGCTCACGCCAGTTTCTGGTCTTTCCCACACAACACTAGAAATTGGCTCTCAGGAATGTCTTAGAATGTGGTCACTCACTGTCTCTGTGTTGCCACTGCCACAGTGTCTGTGAATGCCTAGGGAATGCACTGGCTCCCACCACCTCCTCCTGATGCAGGGGGCACAGTTACCACTGCTCCCCTGCCTGCCCTACCTCCTGCCCTGGGTTGCCTGATCCCGCTGGTATCCCCCACCTCCCTCCCGTTCTGATGGTGGTGCCCAGCTTCGTGGGTGTTCTTAGTACATCTTCTGTCTCTCATTGTGTTGAAGAACTGGAGCTGTTCTGTGCTGTGTGTGCAGCAGGAGGTTGGTTGGTCAGGTGCGGGACTGTTGAGGCATTTGGTGGTGGTGTGGTTCTTGATAGCTGCTATTACACAGAGCATGGCTAACTACTTGGAGAGGCCAGGTGTGTTTGAGAAAGAACACCTGGTGATAAGGTACACAGCAGGATGGAAGTCATGGGACAGAAGGGTAGCATCGTTCAGAGTGGATAAAAGAAAAAAAACTAGTAACAAGGCCGG